TCCGAAAGCGGAATTGAAGAATAATTTTATATGATTTATATTGAATTTATACTTTATTAATAAATTTTATATAATTATTTTTGTTGTTTCATTTCATCTTTAAATAAAAAAAATCAGTTATTAATTAATTAATCAATCAATTAAAGGAAAGTTGCAGCGGCCCTATACACAGGTAGAATTGTGTGAGATTGGTTTTTGGAGCTTCCATCGATTACTGTTCTAAGATGGCCAGCCAAGTCTCCGGACCTTGATTGTTTTTCTTTTCCAATTATCCACTTATCCGTTGAGCGCCCACGTCCCACAAGAATGGAGAAAAAAAGAAAAAATCATGAAGGACAAAAGGATCAACTACACAAAAGCTACAACGACAAGATTTGGCATCAGAGTGCAACCACAAACCATCGAAGATTACCGAAACCTAAGAAACTGGCTGGAGAAAGAAAACATTCAAATGACGACCCACACATTGAGGGAAGAACGACTATTTAAAATAGTAGCAAAAGGTGTACCAACAGAATGGACCTTAAAGGAAATAGAAGAAGATCTGAGAGAGCAAGGATACCCTACAAGAAAAATCACAAGAATGAACAGTAGAAAAAGGACCGAACTGCCAATGGTCCTAATGGACATAGAAAGAAAATACAAGTCAATATATAACATACCAAAAATCATGGGTATCAATGTAGAAATGGAGAGTCTAAAAAGAGATATATAAAAAGGAAAAGGATTGCATAGTCTTTAATTATTTATTCATTTATTCATGAAATATTTGGTAAACATTTTGTTACATAGTTTGTCATTATTGTGATCCACATACCATTGTGTCGTTAAAATGCACCATGTGCTCGACGCAAATTTTGCATAGAGCAGAACTTAACTGTCCGAGGAGGTACCACCTTGGAAGACCGTAAGTGCGGTATTACTCGGCTAGACGAATTGGTCTTCCCTGAGTCGGACGATGATCGGATGTCCGGATCCGAAAGCGGAATTGAAGAATAATTTTATATGATTTATATTGAATTTATACTTTATTAATAAATTTTATATTATTATTTTTGTTTTTGCATTTCATCTTTAAATAAAAAAAATCAGTTATTAATTAATTAATCAATCAATTAAGGGAAAGTTGCAGCGGCCCTATACACACAGGTAGAATTGTGTGAGATTGGTTTTTGGAGCTTCCATCGATTACTGTTCTAAGATGGCCAGCCAAGTCTCCGGACCTTGATTGTTTTTCTTTTTCAACTATCCACTTATCCGTTGAGCGCCCCCGTCCCACAAGAATGGAGAAAAAAAGAAAAAAATCATGAAGGACAAAAGGATCAACTACACAAAAGCTACAACGACAAGATTTGGCATCAGAGTGCAACCACAAACCATCGAAGATTAGCGAAACCTAAGAAACTGGCTGGAGAAAGAAAACATTCAAATGACGACCCACACATTGAGGGAAGAACACGACTATTTAAAATAGTAGCAAAAGGTGTACCAACAGAATGGACCTTAAAGGAAATAGAAGAAGATCTGAAAGGGCAAGGATACCCCACAAGAAAAATCACAAGAATGAACAGTAGAAAAGGGACCGAACTACCAATGGTCCTAATGGACATAGAAAGAAAATACAAGTCAATATATAACATACCAAAAATCATGGGTATCAATGTAGAAATGGAGAGTCTAAGAAGAAGAGATATTATATAAAAGGACAAGGATTGCATAGTCTTTAATTATTTATTCATTTATTCATGAAATAGTTGGTAAACATTTTGTTGCATAGTTTGTCATTATTGTGATCCACATACACAATATGACGATAAAATGCACCAGGTGCTCGACGCAAATTTTGCATAGAGCAAATCTTAACTGTCCAAGGAAGACCGAAAGTGCGGTATTACTCCGCTAGACGAATTGCGATCTTCCCTGAGTCGGACGATGATCGGCTGTCCGGATTCGAAAGCGGAAAAGAAGAGTAATTTTATATGATTTATATTAAATTTATACTTTATTAATAAATTTTATATTATTATTTTTGTTGTTTCACTGCTGTGCAGTGGTATGACAACAAAACTGTCAATCTTATTTCTTGAGTATTGTAGATATCGGCCTATCACCAAACTCAAACACTTTTTTAAATCTAAAAACTGTAAAAAAGAAGTAGTCAACTAGAACCTATTCAGAAACACGACGACACACATGTTGTACAATCGATTAAAGAGAGAGAAAACACCCGAACTTCGACCAAGAACGTCTAAAAAATTGAGCCCCAATCAGGAACGTTGAAAGAAAGACTGAAGAGAACTCTAGTGTTAGGTTTGTAAGCCTTACAGCGATCTCAACAGTATCTAAAGTAATCAATCCAAGAAACGAGTGTCAAGAAAAAGAGGCAAAACCGCCATTTTAACGTCCTTACCATATAAAACAGAACTGGAATTAGCTCAAGAAAAAAGTAAATCTACCAAAGTAAAATTAGCAAAAAGAGAGATAATAGATGATCAATCACACACAGTGTGAGAGTCAGATTCAGAAGGTGAAGAAGATAATGACGCTGACCGCTTGTACTTTTACCTTTACTATACCTTTATTCAACTTCTACAGAGGGAAGGTTGTTCTAGTTGTCACAAATGAGCTCACAATTCATGTGCAGGTGTAGACGATGAAGATAATGAAGCAATACTTATTTGTGAGTACTGTCAATAAGATTTCCCGGTTTAAACATATTACCCCATTTTGCTCTATGCGACAGGCATAATGGAGCAAGTTGTATTATTTTCTTTTTTGTGAAATATAAAATAAATGTTTAGTTTTTTATAAGTTAAAATGTTACTAATAAATAATTAATACTGTAAAAATAATTATGTTATAACATTAAGTACCCCATTGTGCCCACCTCTCCTCTAACTGATATTACGAATGATGGTAATACTTCCAGAAGATTTTTTTTACAATGCAGACTGTTCTGCTAAAATAACAAAAGTGTATGTAAATTTGATTAAACGACTTTACATAGTTCTGCAAGCTCTTTCATCATATTATGCTGAAAAATTTGGCAATTATGCCATAGAAACAGCCTTCTTCAGTTCACAAAATTTTAATTCATAGCAAAAGCATTATAAAGCATTTTGCTGTGCTTCCTATCTTCCTAACTTTCAGAGGATACGCAAGAATCCCGTGATAAAGATTATAAAAAAAAATTGCCTACATCAAGCCAGTAACTGCTTTCGTTCAGCTACAAATGAGGACGTATTTCAAACTTTTCTCTATACATTAGATTCGTACACTTCCAGTCTTGGACAAACGTATAGCAAAAGTGTGAAGGGACTTGATAAAGATATCTTAGACAGTGAACGAACTCATTTCAGATCCCAAAGTTCATCAAATATAATTACCATAATGTAATATTAATTAACTTGTACATTGGTTTAACATTCTTTCAATATTTCATTAAATAATTATTTGTAATTGAATAGACTTTGAATAGACTTTATATTACCCGCCGCAAAAGGGTCCTAGATCCTAGAATACATAATAGTCATATGACTATATATTTGTGCAAAAATTCAATCGTCTCTCTAGACAAATAAAAATCGATTTTTAATCCAAAACAGACCTCGATTTTCCATCGTAGGCCGTTAGAAATTTGGTAAAATCAATTCAATCTTGATGGTGGTGTCGTGCTGTTCGATTGTGTGTCGAAGTGTGTGAAGAAGTGCCCTATGTACCGGTCTCGACTGTTTTGTGCTTCCGCAACGTTGCCGGTGTTGATAATTTATTTACTGCTGCTACAATTGCCCAGATGATGAACTGTGTTTTATTAAATTTAATTTTGCAATTTTAACTTATGATGGCTTATTGTGGCAAACTCGTGTTTCAATTTAAGTTTCTAAAAGAAACAGTTTCCAGAAATTCACTTCACCAACAAAGGATGCTTTTTAATTTAAAAGAGAGTCCAGACTGTTAATACTAATTAATAAAAGTTTTAATACTAATTAATGATTGTTCTTGCTAAAAATGACTTTGTATTTTTTATCTTAAAGTTGTTTTTTAGAATTGCCATTTATTAAAATTATGTTTTTCACAAACATTTTTGTTATTATGGGAGATTTCACTCACTGTACTTATACATTAAGAATGCATGTGATATATGAGTATTTTTAGGTATAAAAGAAAACTACCATCTCGATCTTCAGTAACAAAAAGAAATTTATTGCATGAGGTCAATACGCGATTCAAATAACAGTTGACACCTAAGGCCAAAAGGCTTTATGAAATTGCAAAAGAATACAAAAATATTGCCAAAAAACTTAATTACACCTTTGAGGGAAATAACCAACGAATTAAGGCAGCCATTGAACAACTGGAAAGTGGTATTTAGGGACAAACTAAATAAACCCACATATAATTTTCTCGTAAGCCAAATTAAACAGCAGCATAAAGCACCGAAGGGTCGGCGATTTTCACTGGAGGATAAGATTTTGACTTTAACAGTAATGAAACAAATCGCCACAAGAGGCTATAAGTTGTTGCGACAAATATTTGCCTTACCTTCAAGAAGAGTAGTAGTAGAAAATAATTTGTTGAAAGAAGTGCCTTTTGAATGTGGTTTCAATAAACCAATATTTGAAAGTTTAGCAGAAAGTGTAAAGGAATGGCAGCAAGGAATAAGCATTGCATTTTAATGCTAGACGAAATGTCGCTTCAACCTTTGCTCCATTACAACAAATCAAAGTGCATAGATACGTTTGAAGACAGCGGCGATGCTACGTTGACAAAAATAACTGATCATGAAATGGTTTTTATGATTAGAGAATTAGCAAAGAAGTGGAAACAACCAATTGCATACTATTTTACGCAAAATGGTATGAAGAACCCTGACATTGCCAAAAATATTAGGCTGATGATCGAAAAACTTGAGGCCATTGGACTGCAAGTAGATGCGACAGTTTGCGATCAGTACAACAGTCTACTTGTTGAGGAAACCAACATTGAAGCGATGAGGCAAGGTGAAGTGCACAACAAATACAATATAATAGAAGGGAAATTAATACCATTATTTAATTTTCCCGACCTATTAAAGGGGATCAGAAACAACATGTTGAATTATTATGTGCATTTCACCTGGAACAATGGACGAGAAATGGCTAGCTGGCCACATATAGAAAAACTTTATGAAATGGATGATGGTGATGAGGGTTTCAAGATGATCAAAAAGCTGGCTGATGAACATGTGTTGAAAAAGAAAATTAAGAAAATGAAGGTGAAAAATGCAGCCCAGGTTTTTTATTACCAAGTTCAAGATGTTATGAGAGGCTTAATAAAAAACGGTAACTTTTTTTTATTTACTCTTGTAAATTTTATTTAGCAACTCTGTTTCAGGAAACACTAATCTACCACCTGCTGCCATTGGAACAGCAAAACTCTTTTTGTTTATGAATAAGCTTGTAACAAATGCAAGATTTGATTAAAAGACAAAATAGTAATTTTGGTTTCCTTCAACGTTTTGACCGTTACAAGCAAACAATAGTACATTCTTTCAACAGACAAGTGTCGTCCAGATTTCGTTCTCGGAAGACTGACTTTAGTTTAGTTATTTTTTGATAAATTTCATGTTCAGGAAAACAGAAATATGTCCAAATTAGTACAGCTTCTTTTGAATTTGTTTGATCACCCCCGACGACCGCCTCTAACGGTCGAAGCACTCGTCATCCGGTTGGGAACATGTGGTCACTTCTTAGAATCGCGGATCCTCTTGCAATCCTTTCTTTTCCAAATTAATCAGTGAAACCAAATTACTATCGCGAATCAGAGGGAACGAGTCACATGCTAGGATGCGGTCCTCACTAAGATACTTAATGTTGTCCACCTTGTTTTGAGAAAAGACCAGCTAGACCAGACAGGTGTCAGGACTTCGCAACTCAGGTAGTTAGTCAAATGGACAGTTTGCAGGAGAGTTGCTAGGTTCTGGTCACCTTAATTAGACGATGGAACATAGTCGAGATCGGGCGGTACTGTAATTGTTTTATACTCTTTGATTCTTTGTAATTGTAAACCGTCACGAGTTCTCAGAAGATGATCCATCAAAGTCACAAAGACTACAAAAGAGCTCTCTCGGGGCTCTCGTGCTTGCTAAATAGTTGTAATACGTTTGTATACAATGGCTAATAACTCGAACATTGGAGTTAAAGCCAAGGTCCTTCAAACTCAAACACGGGAATTAATAGCCAATGTTATGAAATTTATGAAGGAGGAGGCGGAAAATGCCTCAAAAATTCCTTTGAGCAATTCCAAAGCTCGTGTTTTAGCAGCTACAGGAATAGGCGAGAAAAGCTATCGTTCCATCCAAAAACAAATGAAGGAAACAGCTGCTGGAACGTCTTCTTCATTTTCTTCTCCATCCAAAAATTCTCCCAGAAAACGTCCAAAAAGCACTTTATATATATAATTTTATATAATTCACGATTATTGTATTCTTGAGAAAAGACATCCGACTATAAAAGGTAACAGTGACTATTATTTTATTAAAATTATTATTAATTATTTTTATTGTTATTTGTTATTGTTTTTTTATTTTTTATTATTTTAATAATAGATCTAGCTAAGTCTAACATTTTGTAGGAATTTATCAACACATGAATTTTATTTTTTTTAGTTGGCGAAAAACTGATGATAAACGAAGAATTCTTACGGAGTCATACGATATACGTTTGAAAAAATAACGCATCTTTGAAAATTACAAGAATATGTAAAAAACGGACATTATTTTTACTGATGAATCGTATATTCACATTCTCATACGCAACCAAAAACATGGAGCTTCACTAGTGGTTCAATAATTAAAAAACCCGTGGCTAAAGGTCAGCGTTTAATTCTTCTAGGAGGAAGAATGGAGTATATACCAAATGCACTTTTGACATTTCGTTGTGGTAGGTTTAAAGCAATTGTTTTTCTGAATACATAGTGATAACTAAAATACTTTATTAGGTTCAAAATCTGGCGACTACCACAACGATATGAATTCCAAAAATTTCATTAAATGGGTCAAGGAAAAATTAATACCAAATTTGCAACCTCAGAGTGTGTTGGTCGTTGATAACGCCTCTTATCATAATGTAACCGCATATAAAGATCCAACATCAGCCATTATGGCTCAAGGAGCGAAATATTAATTACGAGGAAACATCAACTAAGCCAGAGTTGTACAGTATAATTAAACTGCATAAAAACAAAAACCCGGCATATATTTTAGACATTGAAATGGCCAAACATGGTCATTTTGTTCTTCGGCTGCTACCCTATCATCCAGAGCTAAATCCTATTGCCAAAAACTATCAAAAGAAATGTCGTATTTGGTGGTCTTGCCAGTGCAGTGTCATAGTCAGTGTTAAAAACAAAATGAAAAAACTTGATAGCAGTTTGGAAGATGCCTGACAATTATGAGATTGTGAATTGTGTGAAATTACATTGTAAAAAAAATCTATTTGTGTTTTTTTTGCACTCAAGAGTACTTTCTTGTACCAGAGAGATAATTTTTATTTTATTAAACGCACTTACTGCTGGCATGAAAATAAAATGTTTAACTCTCAACAACCAAGGCGAAGACTATACTGTAATAGCCGATTTAGAAACAGCCGAAATGCTATTAAATGGTAGTATTTATTACAAATATTTTTTTAATTTATGTTATTCTTATATGAACTATGTAGATCCCGAAAAGGCCCAAGGGTATCTGCTCAATCTAACCTATGGACATAATGATGTGCAGAGCACAGCAAGAGCAACAGGAAGCGACGACAATACTAAATTAGTCTGGAAGAGTAAAAGCAAGCCTTCTGTAGAAGATGAGGAAGTTACCACTTTAATGTTAGTCTTGTCTTGTCGAATTGTCTTGCTTCCCATTATTTATTATTATATCGTTGTTTTAGATCAAGACCTGTGATAATAAGTGACCTAGATATGAGTGCGACGGTGGTTGTCATGAATATTTTGCCCCTTGTTCTCATGACCGTCCCGGTGCTACGCATAAACTGGGGCGTAGGTGCAATCCCTCCTCCAGGTCCACAAAGGATTGAGTGGGCCGATTTAATATCATTGCGGTCCGGCGTGGATGACGTGGGACTAATATCGGTGTGGCAGGTGTCCTTTGTGTGTGTATAATGTAGTTTATAAATAAATTTAATAATTTTGTTATGTAAAATCAATGCGTTTTCTTTCCCTTCTCATTACTAAAATATTGGCAAAATACAGTTGAAAGCAAAAGTAATTTGGAAATTCCGAACGTGTCAAATGCAATGCCAGATGTTGGGATCTCCGGTCTTTTTATTTTTGTCCAGGACCAATCATTGTATCTTATCAGTTCTACCTACCCCCTGCCCTTATTATTTTTTTGATATGTTCCTATGTTTAGGTTTTTGTTACCTAAATTCTTTGATTGTGTAAAAAAAAATATTTATTCTATTTTTGTTAATATTCCTAAGTAATTTTTGATTTAAAATTTGCCTTAAGTTATCGCTTGTCTGATTGGGAATATAGCTAACTAATTTGTAATATATTTTTTTATTTATATAAATGTCCTTATACAGGGTGATTCTTAAATAGACCGACAAAATTTTATCACAGCTTTCTAAGGATAAATGGAGACAAACTGTACCCTTTTTACGTTTATACCTTTTAGGGGCAAAACCCCCTTGATCCGTGCCACTTACGGCGTTTGTGAATTGTTGCAATGATCAAGTACATTTTCATCACGTTAATACCATAGTTTCCACTACCTGTGCTAACACATCAGTGGCGTTCGCTTTACTTCGAAAATAATTTTAATAAATTTTATTTGGAGAACGTTTAAACAAAGATTTTTTTAAATATTTTTTCCAGCATGTTCTCATTTGATACTACCAAGGATAAAATTTTGTCGGTCTATTTAAGAATCACCCTGTATTTGATCCCAATGTTTTGCTTTGAACAATTTATTACCGAAATTTGTTTTATTTATTTAATTTAGATTAATTTTTTTTTATTAGGTGGAGGTAGGCCAGCCGGCTACTTAAACGATTTCATGGGGGAGCTGATAGCCGACCCCCATTTCGACATATGGGAGGTAGACCACATTATGGATTTGGTGCCGTTCACCATTTTGAACGAGGTGGACCGGGTCATCGTCCTCTTCGACGCGGCCATGGTCCCGGCGCGGTAGCCTGGGCGCCTTCTGGCATCGCTCGGGAAACATCTGCACTGTGTGGGCTTGGCGAGGGCCCTCCCCTCGCTAATTAATTTTTAATGTTGTATTTTTTGTATTTAAATATATCTATTTAAGTGCGTCGAGAGAGTCATATGGCGACAATGCTATCGGTTTTGTACAGTTGCAAAGGCAACAACAAAAATGCACAGTCCGAGCAAAAATAACCCCCGAACATCGAGTCCACTCCACGTACTATATTGTGCAAGCGGTTGTGAATGAAGCCGAAGAAAAAATCGAAAGCGTTGAATGCTTGACTTGTGCTGCTTCCTTAGGTATGTTATCCGGATCAAAATGAATGTGGGGTATATAATGTAAGGTATAATTTTTAGGGGGTTGTAAACATGGCGTGGCTTTTTTATTTTGGCTGCACCGCCGTAGCGAGGAACCGTCAGTGACATCCAAAACTTGTTATTGGAGAAGTTCCCAACTAAGTAAAGTTGGTCGTACACTAAAAGCGACGGACCTGTCAGCACTTACGGGGAAAACTGTTCCAGTACTACCACAAAAAGGCAACACATTTTTAAATGCAGTGTTAAATGAAGTGAAAAATGCAGAAGGGGGCATTTTTGATTTAGTAGAGCCCAGAAGATTTAATGCAGTTTCAATTTTCTATTTAATATTAGATTATAAAGTAAATAATTCTGATAACTTGGACGTTGAGGGATGCATAACATTTATGAAAACCAGTATGTCTGAAGAATTATGTAGGGATCTCGAAAATTCAGTTGTTTTCAGTCTTTGTCCGGAAAATATGTCTTCCTCTTCACAGACTTCGCCCGGTGAAGGAAAATATTCAGACGTACCAACACTTGTGGTTGTTGAAGTTTCACTGCCGACACTTTCAATTTTGGTTGGCGTTAACGGTTCCTCAGCAAATTGCGTTGAAGTAGACGGTTTGGATAAGGTTTGGTCCACAAACAGTTGTCTTTTGACCATGCTCTTTTTCGCATATTTGTCTATTACATCAATTTTACGTTTTTTATCTGAAGTACTTAACTGAGATTGCGAAGGAGGTATAATGTTTGAGCTTATGTTTTTGTGTGGAACTACATTGTTGTTTAATTTCAAACGCGAACCAATTTTCGGCATCGCTTTGTAAATTAAAATGGTCTTCGCAACAGTATAAGTCATGACGCGTGGATTCTTGTGAAATGCCCACTGCTTCAAACCAAAGTGAACGACGCCCAGCTTCTTTCGGTACGTTTAAAAACAGCTTATCGGGTGCATTGTCACTGGTGTTGTTACATGTTGGAACAAAACACTTTTTGACAACACTGGAACTAGTGGAAGCCATTCCTTTAACCTATAATGCACATTAAGGTCAAATTTACACAAATTAATTAATTTATTACCCTTTACTTTTGTTACAAAATTCCTTGTGTGATAACAATACGTAAACACAGCATAAACAACACAAGAATCACAAAATTAACCACTCTAAATCAAATTCAATAACCATAAGAACTCAGCGCCCAGGCGTACTTAACCATGCAAAGATTGCGGTAGGACAGATGGGTTTACGCGTTTTACGGTGGGTGTGCATGCGCGCTTTGGAATAGGAGTAGCTCGGCCTATGACGTCACGCGACCTAAAATTGCTTTCTTTGGCTCTAATACTGAAAATCTATTAAAATTAAAAAATACGGGTAAACTAATTTTTTATGAATTTCCAAAAAATGCAGTTACAAAAAAATACGGGACGAGCCCATTAATTTTGATTGAGTCTTGGGTCATGTATATATGGAGGAAGGCCCCCTCGCCCTTTTGAGCCGAGGTTGCCCTTGTGGAATACTGCTTCACTTTTGACCTTTACATCCTGGATCGTTATCATTGGGTTCTCAAGAATTTTGTTCTAATTTTGGTAACAATTTGACATGTCCCAAACAGTTTATGAATTTTGGTGATTCTTTGACCCTAGATAGTGTGGCATAGTTTGTTTATCAATTTGCTCCAGACTATTTACTGGGGTGACCACTTAGTTGGGGTAGCTGACTTGTAACCTTTGGGCTGATAAGCCGCTGATATGCTATTTTCGTTTCTGGGAAAATTTCCTTATCGACTGAACTTTTATGGGGGTTGTCTCGTGACCTTTGTGGGTGGGTATGAGTTTTAATTGTTATTTAAATTAAATCGTCGTCTTCTCTTTTTTATGTGATTGTTCCTTTCCTTTCACTATTGCAATAAAATTAGGTGGGCTGATTTGGCCCACCACACCACTACCTAATTGATTTAGCAATTATAAATGCTTATCTTCTGATGAAAATTTACAAACCAAATTATGACCAACTTCAGTTTCGCTTTTAGCGAGACAACTGATCGCAGGATTTTCATAAAAAAAAGAAATAAACCAGTAAATTTTTTAGCTAACAAAAGTATTGTACCAGAAAAAGTGAGACTTAGTGGTGTAAGTGATCATTTACCGAAAATGGCAAATATCGAAAATGCAGACTTTGCAGCACATCTTCTAAAGAAAAAAGAACAAAAATTGTTTGTTCAGGGTGCGATATACCATTATGTTTGCATCAATGTTTTAGGAAAATAGTTTTTAAAATTCTTAGCAATAATAAATTCTTTCTTGTTGTTTGTTTTATTTCTTTAAAAATAACAAAATACATGTTTTTTTTTTCAAATTTGTATGTATTTTTTTATGAAACTGTTAGGCACTGGGAAATTATATTCCCAGGACAATAATTACAGAAATGGATAATATTTTTTTAACAATACAAATATTTAAAGAAATAAGACATGTATTAAATATTATTGAAAAAAAAAATCATGCTGAAATATTTATCACATAGTTCGCGCCCACAAAAGAGTTAATAAAAAAATGTTTCAAAGCACAAACACAGCAGTTTCCCACGAAAAACTGACCCATATTTGTTTATGCAAAGTAAGGAAATGTGACCATCCATAAAATTTACAATCGTCGAGAAACAACAAAAGACACGAAATTCCCAATTATTCTGGGAAGAAATGTGTTATGCGGCCCTTTCATGTTTGTTGGTTTTTAAATTTTTCATGTTTCATTTTCTTCATTCGGATCTAAAGGTGCGACCACACTTGCAACCATGAAACGCGCGACGACCCGCGCCACGCAACCTAGCCGTGCCACGAACCGCGCCGGAATTAAAAAAGCCACAGACTTTCGAAACAAAGAAGATGTTTCGTTACGTACCTAAATTACGATACTAAGTGTTGCGAATAATTAGATTAGTTTCGGCAACTAATTAAGACAAGAAAAATAACAATAAACTTTATAGTTTTGTTTGTTTGATTTTTATAGTCCTAGGAAGGTTAAGACGTATATGTGTGAATCAGCGATTGAATCTTAGTTTTTAAGATTAGTCTGTTTGAATAGTTTGTAAAACATAGTCGTACGCTGCTACAAATAAAGCTTTTTACTAACTAAATTTCACAACTTCATTTCAAAACCACAACACTAATCAAGAACATCAGAAATAGCCCAGAATATGTATTTAGCAATCATTCTTCATGTGACAAATATTTTTGTTCAGGACCAAAATATAAAAGAAATGGATGAATATGGATTACTGCAAGATGTATTAGTTGTTTGCAACAGATTGGTACAACATTTTTACAGCTTAGGTATTATTAAATATGAATAATAATAATGCAGAAACCTACAATTCTAAAGACGCAAAATTTATCGGTAGAAAAAGAATCAATTTTGCAATTAAAGACAGTTACGAATTCGCTGCAAAGCAGCGGAATGCAGTTGCTTATAATTGCCGCGAAGAATATTTTTCGTCCGTTCAGAATAAAATTAAGTCAAGATCTCCAGGCAAACATACCAAAACATTAAGAAACTGAAGATCATATTTAAAGTCGCGAAAACAACTTGCGAAGTTCTTACCATTGACATTACCATTGACAAATAATTCAATAATAGTAGTTATATGCGGGCAATTAGTGCTAATGAGGTCATTAGCTAATGACCGCTACAACTTTCTCTTAATGACCGCTACACTTTCGCCGCTACAATTTTAATGACCGCAGCAGCTTTCCCTTAATTGATTGATTAATTAATTAATTGAATGAATGAAACAACAAAAAATAATAATATAAAATTTATTAATAAAGTATAAATTCAATATAAATCCTATCATCGGGGGCCATTACAATTCGTCTAGTGGGGTAATACCGCATTTCCAAGGGACACTGAAATGTGCGAAGGAATGTTATGGGCGACAAAGGTAATTAATAATGAGGTCACTACCTAATGACCGCTACAACTTTCTCTTAATGACTGCTACAATTTTACCTCTTAATGACCGCTACACTTTGTCCGCTACAATTTTACTATATGTCATACAGTATATAAGACTAAAGAAAATTCAAGAAAATATTCAGTGTTGATTTCGTGTTTGTTCTTGAAGAAGACGTCTTGGTGTATTGTGAAAATAAGGTAAGCTTTTAAACAATATTTTAAATATTTACTAAGTTTTGTGAACTGATGTTAGATGCCTGGAAAGCGTGWACCTTCTACACCTTTGAAAAAATCCTCTCCGAAGRGTTTTAAAACACCGAGTGATGGTGGATGTGTAGAAGAAGAAGAAATTAGTGCTTCGCAAGTTACATCTGTTTCGAAGTCGTCTTTGTCAATATTTCCAGCTGCCTTACCCCAACCATCGCAGCCCATAGAATTAGCGAGAATATCTAAAATGGACCTTAAGCAAACTGAACCCCCCAGGTCACCTGAGCCTATCCACACTGAAGAAGACATCATAACTCCAGCTGAATGGTCGGATCCTGTGTTGGAGCGAACATTGGTCGAAATGGCCGACAACATCGAAAAAAATGAAGCTGAAGGAGCTGAGAGAACGGCTCGGATGGTAATCAACGAGAAGTTTCGTTTAATCCATGAAGTGGTATATCCTATTACTAAGTCTGGTAGTAAGCTTTTATCTATTGGGGTAAAACCGCTCCATGATTATGTACCGTTGTTGAAAATTCACAATCCGGAGCTAACATCGGCGATAAGTTTTTCTATTGAAACCTTTGAAGACTTTTTAAAAGAAATGAGCAAGATCTTTGAATCAAGAGAGGAGGAAGAAGTAGAAGGAATTAGTGTTCCAGAAGGTCAGATGTTGTGTATGCTAAGTGGCTACGTCGTGGTGGTTTGTAGATATAATACTCTTCAATTTATACCTAGTCAACCGAGTATGTACAAGGGTATTTATTTATCACTGAATACTATTAAAACTCTCGTAAATATGGGTGAGCATTTATTGAATCTGCTTCATTCAAGGAGAATTCAATATAAGTTCTATCCATGTTACGACAGTTTTATAAATAATGTTGCACTTGATGTTATGGAGAACGGTTGTAAGAATTTATGTCAAAAATTGTTTGATATTATTAAGAATCGGTATGAACAAAATGCAACATTGTATGAGATAGTTTTGAAACTGCCTGTGAATGTAAAAACAGCTGTCGAAGGTAGAGTAAAGTATTATAGAGAAAATAATGATTATAACTGTCTGTGATAATAATAGTAATAAATGATTAAATAAAATGTATATTGTGTTTTCTTTAATAGTCCAATGCGTAGCAAAAGTTATCATTTTGTTTTGGTGTTGTGAAATAGAATGGACTTCAAATCTCGGTTTATTGCTATTATAGCAGGTCCAACTGCTTGTGGAAAAACGCGCTTTATTATTATGCGATTTTAAACCATTTGAATTCTATCTGCGATACGAAATTTGAGCGAGTGTTGTTGTATCAAAATAATGCCATCGATAGTAACCTACAAATAATTGAGCTTCGTCAAGGTGCTCCAGATATGAATGAGTTTGATGGTACAAAAGCGACATTGATAATTTTGGATGACTTGATGAGAGAGAGTCTAACGGCAGCGTGGTGGATATTTTCACAAAAGGTAGTCCGGCGCGGATCGACGGGGCGCGGACCGAGCGCGGGACGGGACGGCGGCGGCGGC